AGCCATGTTGGATGGCTAACACTCCTAAACAAAACGGACCGCTCGCCTTTTCGTTCCTCTTTTATTTAATGCTGTAGATTTCAATAGAGAATTTTTTCGATCACTCGATGGCAGCCATGTTGGATGGCTAACACTCCTAAACAAAACTGACCGCTCGCCTTTTCGTTCCTCTTATATTTAATGAAGAAAATGCAGAAAAATAGAATTGTTTGAGAATTCGATTTCCCAGAGTAAAAAAATTATTTTATTGTGCTCGTCTAACATGCAACGCTCGACACTAAAAACGGATGCGAGGGAGACTACGTCTAACATGGCCGCCATCATAATCATAACTATCGGTAACTGCTATTTTTCTCTCCATCAAAGGTTCTGGTGTTGGGGAAGGAGTCAGCATCGATGTTGGGTACATTTGGCGCTTTGCTGGAAATCGTACTCATATTGTATCCTTTTTACGCCTTGACAAAGATGAACGGGAGGTGGGACTAACATCATACTCTATTGGGAACCCTGTGTGTCTTATCACGTGATACATAGTTAGAACTGATAAGTGTGAATCAGGAGTGCACTCACCTTTCACCTCTGGGGTCTCGTGTTCGATTCCTTGACTCAGCATCACGTGTAGTAGACTTTGTTGGGTCTCGCTTGACTCAAGGGTTTTTATTGCGAAGGGGTTCGTTAAACTAAGTGTTTGGTTTGGTTCGATACTGGGTTCGTTTTCTTAACTAATTTATCTTGTTCAGTTACCTGATGCTTGCGTCACTAGTAGGTCTTTACAGTGTACCCTTGTTTGCCAGGCTCACTCCATCACCACGGGACACGCCCATGACTAAGGTAATCCATAACAAGCTTGCCCTTAATGCTCCCATTTCGAGTTCGCCTCTGTTCAGTCTTAGACATCAAGAGATCCTTAATTCATGGTCCTCGTTTCACGATGTATTTTACTTTTATTTATTTGTATTTTGTTTTAATAGGGCAGCATAGGCCGTTGTGATTTCGGTGCGCCTGCGGGAGGGGGGCGGGGGGCCTGGGAACCGAAACGACAACCTCACGGCTGAAACCAAGTCTACAAGCAACGTTGATGTACAAAGAAAAATATTATTTATTGTAGAAATAGTAATAAAGGATACTTATTCATTTGCCTCACGATCGCAGGGTTTTTCGTAGAAAGACCGCCACAAATCCCCCTAAACGTTGATGTACTTTATATCCACCAAAAATACAACTTGGGATGACTGACTAATTGCTGTTGTTGCTTTAGGTCATCGCTAACTGTATAGTGTTACTCATTCTAAGCTCAGCGCTACCCGTTCTCTCTAGGACTCTAGGTACGTATTCAGTATTATCGATACTCTCTGTCATCCCTCTTTTTCTATGCAGGTGTCTGGCTTACGTCAATCCGAGTAAGTACACTTTTGATTGACGGGAGCCAAAAACCCAGACATCTCAAATCAGTCAAATAGTCCAAGTCGCACTAACATTAATTAATTGCTCTAATTATATTCGTATTCATCGTTATTATTTCAGGAATAACTAACTTCGATTTGATGGGCGAATTCGGTCGTATCGACTGGCTTGGTAGTTTTCGTCTTGTCATCTTCTATAACGTTTGGTTTGAAGTGGCTACGGCCTTCTGTCTGGTCAACAAGTTCACTGCTGCTGTCCGAAACGCGCTGTTTGAACAAGTTAGATTTCCTGCTATGTTGTTTTCTCGCAGACTTCGAAGTAAGAGTAAAACGTCGCCGTAAAGGCACGAAAGCTGTGGAAAAATTTGGCCTATTTGCTAAAACGAAGGCTTCCAAGCTACTAGTCGGTGAAGAATATTAATGTTGATCATTCATAAAAGGAAACGCATGCGCAGTGCATCCAAACGCTATTTTAAAACACCTTTTATTACATCGTACCTCACCAAGTTCCTTGGATTTTGATTAGCCTGCGTGGCGGCTCTAGAAAATAGTACTTCGAAAGCATTTGTAGCGGCCAAAGGAGATAGGCGATAAGGAATGGATAGGTCATTCCAAAGGCCAAAAATAAGTGGAATAACTTATGTTTCTTATTATTACTCTCGTCAAGAACACGGAGGTTAGTGTTGACTGGAGATATTCAGTGTTGCTTGTAGTTTACGAAGCCATCTTAACCTCGATTAGCTTCGACTATTCGTGTTTACACGTGCCCATAATTGCATTTTTTGAAATAGTGTAGATGTATGTCTAGAGACCCCTAATAGCAAGAAGTGTTAGAGTGCACGCACTAAATCCGTGAACATTAAATAGTACTAATTAGTACTATTTCATACAGAATCCTTTGTTCTCTATTGTTTATTTATCACCATTTAGTACTAAAAGTTAGCATTTGTTTCAGGGGTTTAGTGCGTGCACTCTAAACAGAGTGTATATTGGAAATACTGTGGGTACATCCTGGTTCAGTGATCAAGGGCAAAGCAGTCTAGCCAAACTGATTTTATTTCCTCCAAGTTAAGGTTTTAAACTTCATCCTTCCCGCGGTGCCGTGCGCAATCAACCTGACTGCTTTGCATCTGACGATAAGCCAGAATAGAGTCGAATACACCGATAAATCTTTTAGCATCAGTTGTAATTTAGTAATTTCGAGTATCGTGGTATTTCTTGTAAATACTAGAGATTTTTATTTTGTATCACGCTTGTATTCATAGGCGTAGAATTTCATTACCATGCGTTACCCACGTGCCCAGTCATCCTATTTTGGTTAGGTTATTTACTATACACTACCTTCCTCCGTGTTAGTGATTCCACATACTTAGACACTGTTAGTTACCTTTGGATTATTAGTCTGATTATTAGATTTTGTTACAAGGATAGAGTAGAACTGAATCAATGAATAGTCCCTTTCACAGTTCCCTGCGCCATCTTGAAAGGTGGTCATACCTTTGCATCGAAGCGAGACGAACGGTGAGCTTGCAATGACAGAGACCTTTTTTTATCACCTTGGTCAATTATTCATATGTCTCTATCACTGCAAGCTCACTGTTTGTCTCGCTTCGATGCAAAGGTATGACCACCTTTCAAGATGGCGCAGGGAACTGTGAAGGGGACTATTACAAACTTTGGAAGTGAAAGTTCACATTGACTAATTTTTGGATCGCAACCCTAGCCCAGGAATAAAGACAGGTTTATTCTGTGGCTAAGCTAGAATGCACTGCTTTTGTTAAACTAAAAAAACGTGCGAGCGCTGACTATATTTTTGATAAGCTACAAACCTTTATATATAACATAAAGCATTGATAAATATCTAATGATTAACTAGCTTGTTTATAATTATTAGTATTATGCATATGATAGATTGAGACCAAGTTCAAACGTTGAGCTTCATGAGCCGAACTTAAAGACATCAAAGATGACTGCCTTGTCCATTGTTTCAATTGGGTTCGGCTCATGTGAAGTTCAACGTTTAAACCGAGTCTGAAGGCATTTAACCCGTGAAATACTAAATAATTTACAGCATGAATAGCCAAATAGACACCAAATAGACACCACCGAACTTAAAGACATCAAAGATGACTGCCTTGTCCATTGTTTCAATTGGGTTCGGCTCATGTGAAGTTCAACGTTTAAACCGAGTCTGAAGGCATTTAACCCGTGAAATACTAAATAATTTACAGCATGAATAGCCAAATAGACACCAATAAGAAAACATTGGAATTGGAGTCTACCAATGTGTTTTAGTCTAATATCTACAGTATTTCACGTGGTTTAGTGACTTCACTCTACGAGGAGAAATAAGTTATTTCTGTATAAAACGATCGACAAAAGCTGAAGGTGTTCATTTCTTGGTATGTGTCGACTATTCCACCATACTAATCTATCCCAAATACCACACAGAAAGTACATTACACTGTACCTCTAGTCACGTTTGCCTTTCCCAAATGTCTTCTCTCCACTACTCTATTCACCTCTTTTCCTCCCCTCCCTCCTCCCCCCCACCTTTCTCCTCTCCCCACCAACCCTCATCAGATGAACTTTCCAACTCCTCAAAGGAGGTATTTTTGTGACCTTGACATACAACAATACCTTTGCCAGCCTTTTTTGAAATAGTCATTTTCGACAGAGCAATGCAAAAGAATGGAATATTTTAAATTGTAAATAAGACAGACACCAAAATGAGTCGGTCCAAATATTCCTTTTGAAATAGCTTTATCATAGTCAGGAAAGCCATTTTTGACAGAGCAATGCAAAAGAATGGAATATTTTGAATAAATAAAGACAAATACCAAAATTAGTTGGTCCAAATATCTTTGAAATAGCAGTATCATGATCAGAGAAGCCTTTTTCAACAGAGCAATGCAAAAGAATGGAATATTTTGAATAGTAAATAAAGACACACCAAAATGAGTCTGTCCAAATTTTTTTTAATGAATTTCAGTGCAAACCAACATGAATTATCTTCTCGTTGTCTTGCCTGATTTTCTTTTTCCACTGAACAAATGTTTCGGCATCTTTGTTCTTATCATCCTGTCAGCTTCACCTATGGAATAAGACACACACAGGGGATGTTTAATATTGGATGTCAAGAGAGAATGAGGTTATATAAAAGTGATAAAAATAAGGTTTCATAAACATTTTTGACTAAAATTTTAAAATTGCAAAAATTCTGACCAAAGCCACATTTTTCCACTTTCATATCAAGAGAAAATGAGGTTATATTAAAGTGATAGAAATTAGGTTTCATAAACATTTCTGGCTAAAATGGTAAAATTGCAAGAATCCTGACCAAAGCCACATTTTTCGACTTTCATATCAAGAGAAAATAATTAGTGTATGGTACTGATAGTGTACATGTATGGTACTAATTGACAGCAAGTCAACGGTATGACATGCTTTAACACTGAAATTACTTTCCATGCTTTGATATGATACAGTTACATACATAGCAGCTATAAGAATTTGCCACATCGTTTTTCCCTATCGAAATTCAAGTATTTTATTTATCTGAAAAATGCATGTTTAACATAATTTTAATTATTGGAAAACATTAAGATCAGTAAGCAGTTGAAGGCTGCGTTTAACATAGTACAGGATAAAATTTTTAAACAGGCAAAAAGTTGCACGTTCACACAAACTGAGCTATTCGAACAAAAATTTATAAGCTTAGCTGTGTAAACAACCTATTTTTTTATGTAATTAAAGAGATGGTTCTGTGTAAACAGTATGTACAGGTCAAATTTTTGGCTGGTTAAACATTCGTCAGCACCATGTAAAAGCAGTCTAAATCTCCAGATTCAAAGTTAATCATCCCCTCAGCAACGACAAGACTACATTACAATGTGAAAACAATCATGGAATCTATGGTGAATAGAATGGTAAGTATTCCTGCAGTACTCACCAGCTTTGCCCAGTCTGTTCATTTTCCTCTGTGACACCTTTGCCATTTTCTTTGCTTTCATCTTGTTCTGAAATAAAAATACATGAATAAAATGATTTTCACCAAAAATTGACATTCCATGACGTACATCATGTTTCGATAGTCTATTGTCACATACTGTAAATAAATTTTCTAAAACTAAGCCTAGAAAGCCTGTTCTTATATTACAAAATTAGCACTCTACTTTCTGCAAGCACCCACCCACCCCACCCACCAATGTTACTAAGACAATCAAAGTGGTGTCGTCCATTGTTCCTACCTCAGGCTGAATTCCAGATTGGTCACGTGGAGGACGCGACCTGCTACGAGAGGCACTTGGTTCAAAATTGGAAGTCTCTCTCTTCCTTTTACGGTTGACAGGGGTCTTGGACCTAGAGCGGGTCTTGACTCCTGACATGGGATCATCATCCTAATGAAGATAAATAGAGGATATAGTATTATCATGTGAAATGCCTTAAACCTGGTTCACCAGCAAGCAACACAAATGCAAGCAAAATTATGAGTGAACTACACAAGGAATGGAAACTGTTTCATTTTCTTGCATTTGCATCTATAACCTGGGACTAGGAAAACGTAAACACAAGATCAAAAATTTTTTTGACCTTGGAAGTTTCACCTTGCCTGGTGCCTACTTAATACTGTAAATGGTATCTGCTTAATAAAGGGAAGTCTGCATAGTATAGGCTTGTGTTATACTGAATATGGGTTAATGAAGGGTGTCCACTTTTTAGAGGTACATTTATCACTGTAATTACAGCCTTTGGATTTAATTTTATGGCTGTACTTTGATGTATGAGTAAAACGAAAAAAAATGGGATCCCAAGCTGTGTCACAGTCTTATAATAATACATACCTCAATACCCTCTATGTCATCCATCTCCTCATCAACATTCTTGTGTCTGTTTGCTAGTTTAGATCGAGCAGCTTCCGCCTAAAAAAATATATATATGGTTAAGACCAGGCCTTCAGGCCTGAATGAGAAGTTCCTGACAATAAAGGCCACTGACAATAAAGTCAACTGGCAGCCCAAGTTAATAACCTGTATGGGACCTTATGCACGCTGCAGYCATGTTGGCTTGAAGAATGCAGTTTCCCCCATTTAACCTGGATCCAACCTGGCATGTTTTTTATTCATGTGAAATAAACAGCTGTGGAGTGATGAAAGTTCATCATCCATCACACCCTTGTGCTACCTGTGAATGCAAGTCATGTTACCTTGGCTAATGCTACCTGTGCATGTAAGTCATGTAATCTTGGCTAATGCTACCTGTGCATGTAAGTCATGTTACCTTGCCTAATGCTACCTGTGCATGTAAGTCATGTTACCTTGGCTAATACTACCTGTGCATGTAAGTCATGTTACCTTGGCTAATACTACCGGTGCATGTAAGTCATGTTACCTTGGCTAATACATGTACTACCTGTGCATGTAAGTCATGTTACCTTGGCTAATGCTACCTGTGCATGTAAGTCATGTTACCTTGGCTAATGCTACTTTAGGGATGATTGCTCTGTTCTGGGTGCCTTTGTTTTCTCTGTGTCTTTTCACGATAAACAATCTCTTCTCACGGATTCTAAAATACAAAATGTGAATCAAAAACAATTAGAAAGCTAAAAGTATTTCAATTATCCATTACTTTCCTTTCCAATTGATGCTACATGGAAACAGAATACCATGTTTTATTAGCATGCCTCATTACTCCCTCCCATTGGCAGTTTATTTTTATGGACCACAGAGTTTACGTTTTAAGGGTGGGAAGGGACGGATAATTTGTTAACACTAGTGTTAAGCTGGGAAATTCTGGATATCCAACAACATACACAAAGAATGACTTACTCTGCAGCCTTCTTCCTGATTTCTTCCTCTTCAGAATCCAGCTCTTCTTCCTGCATTGCATTACCATAAAACATGTTTTAAAATACAATGTAATTCTTATTTTACGACCATCCCTCCCATACTGTATGGGGCTTTTCCATGAGGTTCACTCCACATGCACTAACACTACATGTACACATGTACATTCATTATTTACAACACATGACACTCAACTCACATGTCGATTCTTATGGAGGGAGGAAAACTGGAGACACCCAATGAAAAACCCTCATAGCAAGGGAGAGAACAACACATTAGACAAACTCAACTAACATAATGTTATTTGATTCAGTTGAGAATCTAACTAGTGGCCCCAGGCATAAACTAAACAGCAGGTAAAGAGAGTGCTGAAGCAGCACAAGTCACCCATGTTACCCAGTTAATACATGCAATGAAGAGAAAGAAATATTATATTAAGAAGAACTTAGCTGCCTGAATAATAGACCTCCTCGGCTCGGGCATAATGTTGTCCCATATCAGACCACATGTCATTCCCTAGAGTATCCTTTCTTTGTTTAACAGTTTCACATCAGAAGACACATGCATATGGATACAACTCCAGCGAAGAATCTTATTCTCAAGGGAATGACACGTGGTCTGGAATGGGAAAACGTTACACCCAAGCCGAGGAGGTCAATTTAACCTGCATAACCAAATAAAGTATATATGTATCCATGTAAAGTATTCAAAAGGTTAAATTTCAGTAGTGTTTACAGTGTTTACAGGCCATGATTCACAACACAAGCAAAAGGCACACAGGTAGAGAAGTAACTTGATAACTTCATTTTCATCAACATTAAGCATAATACTTACAGAAGAGTCATAGACTCCAGCTGCTTCTCGTAGTTCTTCTTCTCTCTCCAGCTCCTCAAGTTTCTATGAAAAGAAAATAACTGGATCAATCCTAATGTACATGTATAAGAATTCTTTGATTTCTTATTGCTCCAAAACTACAGATACTTTAGTTATACTAGCATTCATTTCTTAAAATATCAGCCACATGAAATAACACCAATGTCTTGTTTTTAGACAGAGCATACTATAATACATACAAACTTCATTCTTGTACCACTTCACAGCCAGTGGATAACAAACCTGTACATGTGACCATCATCTCACAGAGATTAAAGTAATGGCCAGTCTGTCACTGGTCATGTTGACCAGCGGCAAATTAGTTTTCCCCTGGTCATATATGTATCTTGTTCAAATGTTTTAATATGAGACTCAGCGTTACTTATCGAGATGACGGGCAAGACAAAAATTTGACAAGACATTAAAGTTCCAATTCTGGTCACAAATTGTCTGATGACCCGCCATTATTTTTAGTCCTGTTCAATGATAGAATTGTAATAATTTTTATTTAGAAGTTGTTTTGTTTTTTTTTTTTTGTAGAAGAAGGAAAACTAGAGAATTATCAAAAAACCCTTAAAGCACAGGAGAAAGCCAATGACGAACTCTAACTATAACATGTACTATGATAGAAGTGACAAAAGCACACTGTCACCATGACTTCCTAAATAAGCAAAATGAGTGTACCTTCATTATATCAGAATCAATATAGTCAGCCACATTCTTGCCCAAGAAGATCTCAGGAATAACATCTTCCCTGTCCTGCTCTGACTTCAAGTCCCAGTGTTGTCGTAAATCAAGATAGTAATCATCAGCCATTTCTTTCTCCAGTTCCACTGCCAACTTCTTTTTCCTGGTTCCTTCCACTTCCATTGCCTTCTTCCTATCCAGGACAGCTTGTGGAATGAATGGCGGTCTCTCTTTGTTGTCTCTTGGTGTTGGCATGGCAACATGGAGTCTGTTGACAACATCGTTCACTTTCTTGCTTCGCATTTTGACTTCCACTCGTTGAGCAAGGAGTTGTTCGCAGGCCTCGTTTCGTACTGTCATGACTCCTTCATCGCTGATGTTGCTCATGGAGATTACTGTGACACCTTGAAAACCAAAGATAAATCATCGATCAACCAGGGAAATGAGATGAAGCATCAAAAAATATGTTAATCAAGGGCTAGGGGTGAACCCCTTTCAACTGGCCAGCTTTTTTGATCCAAAAAGAAAGATCTACTAGAGGTTTTTGTACCATTGGAGACAATTTGAATTCAAGAGTTGTCTACAGGTTTTCAGTTTTCCTCTCTCTGCAAAACCCTACATGCTAAAGTCCACTTTGATCCATGACTTAAACTTTTATTTAATATACACACATATTAATAGATAAAATTATTACAAAGATACAATGGTTAACAAAATTACAAGAGCCAATGATTTACAATAGTAACTATAAAAAATGAAAATAAAAGAAATAAGGAGAAGTGTGTGTGGTTGTTGAAATAGTAAAAAACTTTCGAGTCAACAGCCACTTATGTTTTCCCTGAAATACATGTGGATCAGCCCTTGGAATTATCCATTGTTACACACATGGCGGCTCTCATTAGGGTTGAGGATCAAAGAATTCTCTAGTAACTGAGCACAATTCTCCAGCTAAACTACCATAATCTTCTTCTATTATTTCAAACTTAAAGAAAACCCTGCACATACAATACAGTTATAGAGAGGTTTCACAACAGCCATGTTTGAAGGCAGCCCAAACAATGCAATGTATTTGCATAACAAGAGATTTCAATTCCCAAAGGAGAAAATTCATATTGCTTAATGCCCTGTAACATCTATATGCAGCCAGCCAATTGAAGTGCTCAGTACTGTAGCTATGTTACTAACCTTCACCATCAAATGCATTCAAAACCTCCTTCTTTTCATCAGACACCTCATCAGGACGGACAATGTCAATCTTGTTTATGACCACAATCAGTGGTTTGTTAGCAAACAATGGCTTGATGTTATTAAACAACTCCAGCTGTTCATGTAAAGTATGACCACACTGCTCTGATATATCTACTACATACAGAACTGCCGAACGAAGATGCGCCAGGGCTGTAATAGCCTAATAATGACAAAGGTATGGTATACCATACGTTAATGAAGTTACCCTACCATGTTTTTAAAAATGAGTGGTTGTAATGCTTGTTGCATTATTAGAAAGAAACACTGCTCTCATCAAAAATGGATACGATGCTACGATGTACACGTAGTACAGATAACACTGGCAATAGTCCAAATTTGCATTATGAAATTGTCAACAATACTTCTGCTCAATTATCTGCTTCCAAGTCCATTTTACTTATCCAACGCTACTACAAATGCATATGTTACACATCACATTTTTTGGTACATACAGTAACTCTAATGCCTTGGGACATTCAAAGCAATGAACATTTAACTGTATTAGGATGAGACTATGCTAAGAACAAACCTGCATTTCAATGGTGTTTCTCTCCTCAAGTGTATGGTCCAATATTCCTGGAGTGTCAACAACCTGAAAATCAAGGCAAAAAATTCAAATACTCCCTAAAGCCCCTTTTACACTAGCAATTTTTGCTGTGGTTTTTTTGCGATTTTGTCCATAATAAATAATGGTAAAGAATTTACTGGTAAAGTTTTTTTTCAAGATACCAAATTTTTTCTAGACGAATGTCTCTTTTGATGGATGAGACAAAAGATTTCATATTTCCGAAAATTGCCACGAAAATTGCAGCAAAAATCGCCGCAAAAAATTGCCAGTGTTAACAACGGTCAAACATTTTTGGAAAAAATCAAAGCATTGTTCATTTTGTTTAATCTCACAACTACTGAACCCGGTTGTACAAAAGATGGATAGCACTATCCAACAAATAAATCTTATCCAGTGCATAAATTTATTGGATAACAGCCTGGACTTATCCACTGGATAAGGATTTATCCAGAAAACAGTGTTATCCACCCTTTGTAAAACCAGGCCCTGAGGAAAAGAAATCTTACCTGCCATCTCAAGTACTTGTAGTCCATGTGTCCAACAAACAAGGATTTGGTAGTGAATGCATATGGCTGGACCTCAACATCAGCTCTTGTAACCTGATAATAAGCAGTTACAGTACTACATATAAATCATGGGTCTCATTCCTATTTTCTCTGAGAATGTTGTTTGCTTGACTAACATCAGCAAAAAAATGCCAGTTTTCATAGTCAAAGGACTGAGARAAGCAAATCATAAAAAATATGTTTTCACTTACTTTGTTCATAAAACTGGATTTGCCAACATTTGGAAACCTGGATAAAGCAAACAATTACTTAGCAAGAAAATAATTCAATGCATATTCATGATATACTGCAATATGGGCATAAAAATGCCATGAATAACATTAAAAGCCCATGACTTAAGGGTTTTTGGCTTCTGTCAATCAAAACATACAAACTCATGTGAAAGCCAAAAAAAATCATAATTCATTTATATGCCTCGCAATTATATGTGTCTTGTAATTTTAGAAATATCGATGTGTGAGGACAAAGTGAAATATTCATTTTGACTTACCCACAGACTAACAGGGTTCTTGTGTTGGGGTCTATAGATGGTAACCTTGATAAATGTTGTCTAACTGTGAAACAAACCCACAACACACAATCAAAATACATGTTTTCTCTATAGTCTTCTCTAGAGTCAGATGATTCTTGGTGTTAATAATTATTGGGTGGCTAGCCAACCCCTTTGACATTTTTAAGGACAAAACAATGGCAAAGAATTATGTACAAATCTAAATATAAAAACTGGCTTCCTAGTAACAGCTAACGCCCTTGAAATCTTCCACAAACAATAATAACTTTAATATTTTATACTGTGCATATTTCATATATGTGTACGCTCATATGTGCGCATACCAAAGATAAAGTTTGTCTTATGTACTCAGATTACAGTGAAGAAAGCAAACCTTGTTCTAGATACTGCAAACTCTGGTTTTGTCTCTTCATAATGGTGCACATCCTAAAGAATCCAAAAAATATTATCAAATATTACCAAAAAATCATAGTATTTACATTTATTTCTAATTTTGACAGGGGAAATGACTTTCAAAGGCCTGCCAAATGAAAACACCCCACAATGCTTTTTAGGGTAGGGGCTTATTAGAGGCTGGTGGCTTATTAGAGGCTGGTGGCTTATTAGAGGCTGGTGGCTTATTAGAGGCTGGTGGCTTATTAGAGGCTAGGGGCTTATCGAGGGTGTTGTGATAGTGATAGTGCCATGATATTTCTCACCTCTGGGAGGGAGGGATGGAGGGATGTAAAAGAACCACTGAGGATGTAAAGAAACCCTGGCAGTGACCATTCTCAGTGCCTACACCTCATACTAACCACCTCTCATGTTTGTAAATTGCAACAAAAGCAATCTGTCATTCACAACTTAATGTAAAGCGCCTTTGATTATATCCATATAGAAAGGGCGCTATATAAATCATAATTCATTATCATCATCATTATCTCAGGTTTAATTTCTGGAATCTGTATCACAGGTGAGTTAAGTTTGTCCATCTCCAACTCTTGCAATCATTGCATAATTTATTAATTAAAGGATTAGAGACAATACCTTCCAAGAGCAGCTCGTTTCAGTTGTTTACATCTATATAATGAGTCACCATACTTCATCAAGCGAACATAATCCTTAGCAACACTGAATAAAAAAATATTTGTAAATATTGTTGTTATTGTATATTTTATAAAAAACCATTGCAATGATGTATCTCTCACAGCAGGGGCGGCGGAAGCTGAAAAATTTTGGGGGGGCACTCCAATATTTCATGGTACCTTGAAATGACCCCCCTCCCCCTCTCTGTTTAGCTTGATTACAAACGTGTATGTGTGATATTTCAATCATTAACATTTTGCGCGCATTAAACCATTTGCAATTGTGCTGAGAGACACAAAAATGATGCAAGTCGTCGCTAGATATATCGTATATTTTTTAGATACAGAAAATTATGTAATATCAAAATAATAAATAATGGTAATCATAACCAAATCTCATGCGTTTTTGTTTTTTTTGTGTGTGTGAGGCATTATATTCTGGGGGGGCCAGGCCCCCCCAAAAAATCTAGTGGGGGGGGGGGCCAGTGCCCCCCTGGCCCCCCCGCTTCCGCCGCCCCTGCACAGCATAATCAACCTTCATAAACTATATAATTGTTTGTTATTAGTTGTTGCAATCTTTGTTGAATTGAAACAAAAGATTGTCATTGGTCTCTTTCTTTACATGTGTATCAACTGCCATATCCAGTAATTACAGCCAGTATATTTTTTATTTACTTATCACAACCTACTGCCTGTTTGCTCGCTTTGTAAAAAGAATTGAAACTTTTGTCAGATACATTTTCAAGAACTCTATTATATTATTATTATTGTTGTTGTTGTTGTTGTTGATGATGATGATGATGATGATGATKATTATTATTATTATTGGACAATGTCTGGCCAGAATTGGAGCTTGTCTGCCTGGTCAAATCTTTGCCTTTCTTGATGGTCATTCACCAGTAATGTCAAGCCAGAAATGAGGTATGACAGAGCTAAATCTAATTTGTCCCAACAACATTCGCCTGTCAACTAACCAGCCATTATTTTTAGCCCTGCCTATCTTTCGTGTGTGTGGGTTTATTTTATGTAGAATGATTGAATTCCAGAGGGAGTCAAAGGTCAAAAGAAACGCGTAGCAACACTAGTGGTACTGTATGTACACATACGTTAGTGCTATCATTTCCCATTTCATGTGGACATTTCATCCGCCAAGTCACAAATTTTAGTCAGTGTTTGACCACCATTTAAAAACAGATAATGAGATTCAAAGACTTAACTATCACCTGATTGAAATCAAACAATAGTAAATGCTACAAGAGGATCAAATAATCACTGGACAACAAATACTCACTTATCAATCAAATTTCTAGCAGTGTTTATCTGTCCTAGAGCCAGTTTATAATGATCTCTATCGTATAGAACATTCATCAAGTCGGCATAAAATGGATGCACATCCTAAAATCCAAGAAAAGAATGATTTATAACATATACATGATGTAGAGGTTCATTTTTTACTTAAAGGATTTATATTTACTTTTAATTTTATTGATAACTTTGTGCTGATCAAAGTCAGTGCACAACTAGCTCACAGATCAAAGTGAAATTTTGGCATCTCAGGTTTTGCAGAAGAAGGAAAACAATAGAACTATTCTGATCATATTTTGATCTTAAAATTTCCGGAATTACACAAGAAAATCGTGAGTTAAATTTCACTTACAATTTCATGAAATTACAAGTGAGTTTTACTTTTTTCTGCTACCCAACCTTTACTCGTACATTTGGATTTCTGTCAATCAAATGGACCCTTCTCAAATTATCTTGGAAACAAGGCTAATATGGAAATGTCAGAAGTTCCTCCAAGAAAAAGTCTGATTCATTTTGCATTTTCATATTAGTCTGACATTCAATGAACTGCAATATTTTTAATTGAAAAAAGCCAAAAAGCCTTTATTGTGAAAGTACTACTAGAAACATCAAAACAGTTATATGTACAATACCCACCTCAAGTCTTGGGAAATCTGTGATGACTTGAGACAATTTATCATGGTAATTCTGTTGAGTGTACTTTATTTTTCTTAAATAAAAATTACGAATTCTGCTGATTTTATAACCCCTAAAAAAAAAATAAGAAAAGGAATGAGTTAAACATTAATGAAAATATCAGAAATTCGATTTAAAAAGACCTTTTCTCTTGTCCAAGTATTGTTGATCAAGCTAATTTTACCTATTTTTTTTYCTAACTATTAACTATGGTTTTACACATCAGCTGATATAGAGTATTAGTAAGCTCAACTTTTTTTCTCTAAGTTATCGTATTTTTAACCAAGAACCACGAAAACAGACGATAATCAAATTATATACTCTACCTTATACTCTATACATTTAAAGTTTTGTATCTAATATGATAATAACAAAAGATTAACGTGAAAAAATGATTCTCTTTCAGAAATTATAGACAACGATGACCAACTTACTTGTGAACTACTGTTGGAGTTTTACGTTGTGTCTTGGATAAAACGATGTCGATGAAGTCCTAACCCAAATAGATAAATAGTTTAGTAAATAAGTAAGCTTTAAGTGTGATGGTTATTTTTATTTATCGCCTACCTTGGCGGTAGGAACCACTGTGATCTTCTTAAAGTTGTAGTGCGCCATTTTGGATTCTTGGCAGCACGTGAAAAGGAAGCAACACTGGACTGACCATGGGCAAATCCGCTGATCAGCGACGGGCGCAAATTGAGTCACGGCCAGAAGTCTGGGACGACATACACTCCGTTACAATTACTGGAAGTTTTCGTATGGATATATGTTATGATACGGCCTTAGCTGTATCGTATCTTACTGTAGCCTCATCTAGTCGTGATTGGATGAATTCCTTGGAGACAATGGGAAGCCATTTCAATGCTATGGCGTGTGATACCGATTTGCCGATGTATGGCAGTGCTAGAAGTCTGCAGTGAGTACGAAAGGGAAATGATGAAAAGGTAAATTATACACCGTGAAAAGATGAAAAAACTTACTGACGTTT